CTCTTACAAGTGGCACTGAATTGACGGCACTAATAACTATTGAAGACAACCACACCGCGACTATCGTGCCACCTCCATATAGAAGTACTGTGGACTTGTTTTCAACTGCATCCCACTGGTAAGCAGAACATAAAGGATATCATTTTCAAACAAACTAAGGGTTTCACTCGATCAAGACAAGTCATAAGCAGCAGAAACTTAGAAAAGGATTATAAAAAAGATTCAAAACAAAGGGTAACAACAAGCTTCTTGCAATTATACGGTGCCAGCTTATTTCTTACCTTCTCCTTCAAGTCTGTTAACAGTTCACCAGTGTCAATGGAAGTGGATGTCTCTTCTGAAGATGATGCTCTGATCTGGACAGAAAGCCTCCGGGATTCTTTGAAAGAAAAACAATGCTTATTTAAGCTTAAAGTTTTGATTCAATTTTAAACAGCTTATATAAAGAGAAACAAGTTTTGGAAAAAATAAAATTATAAGAAATCAAATCTAAATATCAAATAAATAGTGAAAACAATTAAACAAGGAAAAAAGTATAGCAATTAGTCATGTTTATGTACAAACAGCCAAAATGCACAAAAGGGCAAAAACAAAAAGGGTATGGAAATTAGTCAGGCTTAGGTAGAATGAACTAAATTGAATTAATGAATGCGACCAATCAAGTTTGGGTTCTGCCATACCAAATAGAGAGAAAAAACTCCAAAATTATTTTAAACGTCATGTTCATTTGTGTGTCTTGGATTTACATGTACAGAGTTGCAACAAATCTTGAGCAATATACGAGATTGGTCGATTGAAACTCCTACTCTGACTGTTGGTTTTTCACAGTATGGGGTACCCAAGGGCTAATACCCACACCTATTGCAGAAACTACCAAAGAAACAAGATATGCATCTACTTGGCTGCAGTGGTGGTATTCCCAGTTCACAATATGAACCCTATGGTTCCATTCTCCTATCATTGGCTGACCAATGTATGTGAAGTGGACTTGGAGCATAGAAAGCTATAACAATAATTTTTAGTTCATTTACTTGGAATGTACCAAATCAGCGACAAGCCTACACTTTTTAAAGTGCCAACACATTTAAATAGATGTTCAAAATCAAAAAGCTCCGACACTCCCAACTATTATATTCCCACCCTTAAAATCTATTGAGGCTGAGTTCAACATGAAACTAAGGATGGAATTCTGCAGGCGAATTATAAGGAAAGAAGGGACTATTACGACTAGTGAAAACATAATCAACTCAGATACATCCATTCCTTGTAACTTCAGCTTACCTTCATTTTCATTGTATTACAGAAATGCACCAGATCCCTCCTAATCATTGCCTCTCAAATAACATTCATGCCATCAGCACATAATAGCAGACATTATGTTCATCTCAATCAATACCCTACTTTCAAAAAACGAAGAGCAACAGCAAGGTTCAAAACCTGTGCTTTAAGAACCAGAGGCAAGATTTACAGCCCTTATATTCTATTTACCTTTCCCTTACATCTATTAGCTGGAGAAATAAAGGAAAGCACCAGAAAACAGAATCAAAATTCTTACTTTATAAATCCATAAAGAACTTAATTGAAGAAAATTGAAGAAAACCCCACAAAAACCAGCTACATACAAATAATACAAAAACACAAAAGTCTTCAAAAATCAGAGTACCTGGAAAGGCTTTAAGAGGGAAGGAAGATGTGGTGGACGAGAGGCGAGGAGGGAGGTAAGGCGAGGCAGAGCAGCGAGTGGGTTTGGCGGGGAGACGCGGCATGAAGACGGCGGTGGTCGCCATGGACGAGGCTGTCGCTGCCATGATATTGAGAGTGTACTCTGAGAGAGAGTCGTATCCTCAGCTGCTTTGCCTCTTGCCGTCTGACTTTGTTGATTGCTTTGGTTACTTGCAAATGATTTGTTTCCTCGAAGTGTTGGGTGTTGGTTCGCTCATTATCTTCGGTGGGTTGTACTGCTTCCTCAGACTCATTTGAGAGTTGACACGTGGACTTTTAAACCTTTTTGATTGGATGATTATTTATCTGAAATCCACGTTTGGGGTCTCCCTTTCTCAAGCTCAAATACAAAAGTACTCTCTCTCTCTCTTTAATTTGCAATACTTGTTTTTTCTTTTTTCTACTTAGGAAATGAAGAGCAAAGATTCTAACTTTTGTTGCAAATGTAAAAGATGAATGATCCACTAATTAGTAATTAGGAGAAAAACGTTCCAAACGAAGTGTAGATTCTCTATATAACTGGGAGAAGGAGAGGAGTTAGAATTGTAAAGTTAGCGGGGGAGTCAAAGTAGAAAATACAAGTATATAAAAAACACCTAAGTATTCAATAATTACATGTTTAGAGCTATAATTTAGTCATGTATAATTTGTTTTATAGTGAACTATAACTTAAATTATAAGTTGTTTATTACAAATTCTATATGTTATATATAATATAATAGAGGAGAGTTAAAAATATGGGAGGGCCAGAGCCGCTCCAGACCTAGGAGTGGCTCCGCCACTAACTGAGAGAGAAATAAAGAGTTATATATAAAGAGATAAAGAGAACGAATGTATGCACGCACAATACGTAATTTTTGTTTTTGTTTTTGTTTTCTACAATTAGAGTAAGAAGTTCATAGCTCTTCCCTTTAAGGCTTAGAATAAGAAGTTCATAATGGGCATGTTGAAATGTTCCTTTTTGTTCTAACTATATGAATAGTTTAGTGAGAGCTTATAAGCCAACATGGTTAATAGCATTTGTTCATACACCTTACAATCTTGTTTCAGCTCTCTCTCTCTCTCTTCTAATAAATCGGAGATTCTGTCTTGGGTCTTTTCTTTTTTGAAAACAAAAAAACAAAAAAACTATACGACTATTTTAGGCCGTGATTATATGAGAGACAAAAATGAAACCAATTTCTTATTGAATATTGATCAACCCAATTGAACCAACCATGGGCTTCCCTGAGGGGGCTTCTATGAACCACAACCCAATTGAGTCGGTGACCCACCCGGCCCAAAAATCCAATTGATCCGAGATTCTGTCTTGTGCTCATCTAAGCTGATCCATGCATGACTAAATATTTAATATTATATACTAATACGACGGTCATAACAACAACAGAAGCACCAATCTTAAATTATAATCAAACGGCCCAATAATGATTAATAACCTTATTAACCGAAATAATGAAAGAAAAAATTCCACTTCTGGCAGTGATCACTTTTCCTTCAAGACCTGGCATATACTAAACTATGCATTAGGTTTTTAGGTTTTTATTTTTTCGGGTTTTCAATATGATTTTTATAATTAGATTTGTTGATACTCCAAATTGGATCAATGATTGCCCAAATAACTCTAATCTATAAGGGATTTGTAGCTCAAGTGGTTAAAAATATTTCTTCATACACTCGAGGTCCTAGATTCGATTCCCCTTCTCTCAATATCGCTTGTATTTTTTTTTTTTATAACTATAATTCAAAATCTTAAGAGAGACATCAATGCAACTTAAATAAAGATTTTCTAATGCTTGAGTAAGTCGAAAAATTAAACTTTAATACCGATAACTTGTAATTAACAAGTGGCTCTTAACCTTCCCTAACATATCCCTTTGATGTTCTCATTATTGGGCTGCTATTAAGTGTCATAACTCAATGATAGTTTCAGTATGCTTTAGTCTAAAAAACGATCAATTTTAATAATAATAATGGTGACAGGTGACCTTCTGTATTATCAATTTTAATTCTGCAATGGTTATGAGAAAAATGATGAGAATAGAGAAATGGTAGAGGTGGGGAAGAAGTATGGACAACAGATGGAATTTTGAACTTAAACTTATTTGCAGTTTTTAAAATTTCATTTACAAATCATTGTATGTATTTTTCTTTTTTCCTCTCCTTTAGGACATTACTAAATGAGAAGTCTTTTTTTGTTTTTTGTTTTATGTGCTCTAAAATATTAGTTGTTTAACAGTTGAGAGTCAATTCTTTTGGCAATAAAAAAAAAATGTTATATAACCTTTTTTTAAGTACAAGTTAGGGGTATTTCACACACACGCACACAATTATAATGCTATGGAGGTTTGAACCTGAGACCTCATATCTCCAAGTCAATGCCATTTTCTTCGAGACTAGACCCCATTGGCCATGTTATATAAGGTTGGAAGTCATAAAATCCTCACCAACATGATTGATTAAGAATATTAAATGTAGCAACAACTCTGTTATATAAAATAAATAAATAAAATTACAATTTTATTAAATTTCAGAGAACAAGTCTCATTATTTTCCTATTTATTTATCATTGTGGTTGGACCCTAGAATCCGTACCTATTCCTTAATTTTAAGGACGGGATAAGACATTTGAACTAGAACCATTAGGTCCACTACAAAGGCCAACTCAATTGCAATATATTATCAACAAAACTCTTCTCAAATCAAAGGACAGATCAGATTCCCTTGTGTAGTTGTATTGTATGTGTATAAAACTATTAAACCTTTGCATATAATTTATAAAAGACATAGGGGTGGAGAGAGAGAGAGAGAGAGAGAGAGAGAGAGAGAGAGAGAGAGAGAGAGGGCAGCCGTATGCACTATGAACATGAAACCAATAGGCTAATTTTTGTTTCTCAATGCAAAACCAAATATTTATACGCTCTGAATCATCTATGGGGTTTTGACCCTTCCATTTTGCTCTTGTTTATTTATTTATATTTATTTTGAATTTCCTTGAACCAAGGGGATCCCAAATCAGTTGCCTAAAATAGTGCTCAATTGTAGACTTTAGAGGGTCCAGAGCTTCTGTCTTTCTCCTGTGGAACTATAACCCTCCAAGTCCAAGGCCTTGCTTGCACCCTCTGTCATGAGCAACCCAAGTCACTCTCTCTCTCTCTCTCTCTCTCTCTCTCTCACCAACTAACCCAACTGACTATCAACCAAAATATAACCCAAAAAAAAAAAACAAAAGAAAAGGGATCGTTAGTGATAATAAAATAACATCTTAAACAACTCAATTGGACCCCTTCTAATTTGGTGCCCATCTAGCATGGCCTTCCATTTTGATATAATACACACAACCCAACCAGACCTCTTCCAAATTCCACTCCCACATTTCTCCCTCACCCTCTCCATTACATCCCAATGCCTTCTATTTCCTAGGAAACTCCAAGAAGATCGCGACGAACAAATGCGATTTGAAGAATTCTGAGCTAGCAAGGCTGTCATTTTGAAGAATATTCATTTGGTGATGTGATTCTGGTTTACCTTCTCAAAACCAAAGCCAATGTCTTTCATTTCCAGGGCCTGCATCACATCATCATATCCTGCAGAACTTTTATTGCAGGATGATTCTTTATTGCCTTTGAGATTGTGGGTTTGATTAGATTTTTTTTATTTGTTTATGAATTGTGGGAGGTTTGTTTGTATAATATTACGAGCTTTAATGGATGTGGCATACAGATGGCTATATGTAGCTGCAATTCAAGAATTTAACAACAAAGGCACAAGAAGACTTTCAGGGTGGTATTGATGGAGTTCTTCAAAAGCTGGCACATCCTCTGGCTGCTCTTTTCTCTGTCATTTTCATCATCATCATCTTTTGTGCAAGCCTCATATGGCTATGACCCTGTGTCCTTGAGCACTTTTTTCCATGATTATGCAAACACAAGTCTAAGGAACCCTCATACTGGCACGCTATACAATATTTCTCTCCCTGCTAATTTCTCTGGCATGGAAGCTTCATTTGTTAGGGTCATTAGCGCAAAGTTTTGGAGTAGAGGAGCAAATTTCAGTTCATTTCAAATACCACCAAGGGTTATTCCAATGCCTTATGGAAGAAGGCTAGCTATAGTGTTTGAGAATTTAGGCAATTGGTCTTCAAGTTACTACCAAATGTCCAATTACACATTGGTTGCTCCTGTTGTTGGCTTCATGGCTTATGATTCTCCAAATGCAACTCCAATAGGAAATCAGAAGCTCAATTTCACTACTCAGGGTGACCCCATTACAATCCGGTTTTCGCATATTGATGATGTGCAAGGGAAAAATGTGACACCAAAATGTGTCCAATTTGGTGCTGCTGGGAGCTTTGAGATCAAGAACATGACCAAGGAAAATGAGTGCATTACACATGGTTTAGGCCATTTTTCCATTGTTGTTCCATCTCCGCCGAGGCCAGCGCCAATGCCAGAGAAGAAAAAGAGGCATCGGAAAGGGTTGGGGAAAGGGTTTGTAGTTGGAATTGTGCTTGGGTTTGTTTTACTGGGATTGGTAATGATAGCCATATTCAAGTTATGGTGGAGGAAGAAACTTAAAGCTATGGAGAAGCAGTCTGAAAAGGATGTGGCTTTTGATACATTTTGGGTTGGGAGAAGTAAAATGCCTTCTGCATCAATGACTAGAACCCAACCATATCTTGAACATGAATATGTTCCTTGAGTACTTCAATCTTCTTTGTAGTTCTTTTTCTCGTGTACTTCTTTTTCTTTTTCCATCCAAATTTGTAATAGTGAAAGTTATTTTAAATCATGAACTTTAGACTGATGACAGAAACTTTATTTTCTCTTTTGGTCCAGACAGAAACTTTATTTTCAAGTTTCAATTTTCCTGCCAAATGGGGTTGTGCAAAATTTGGCCAGTCAGTACTTTTGCAGTTCAATTTGATCAAAGAATACATGCATGTTTGATTGGCTGAAATTAGGTTTAGAAGGGACGGCAGCTTGGCTCTTGTGCCAATAACATTCATCAGATGTATGTAAAAGACAAATCTAAGGTCGTTTGAGTAGAAAATGATTTGCATTGTGCAGCATTGGAAACTGAAAGTACCACATTCTACACAAGTCATTAAGCCAATCAATAAATTTCTTTATTTAAAGAGAGAAGAGACATGGTTTAATAAATAAATAAATAGTTTGATAACCTATCTCCATCAGTGATCAGTGAACATTGAAAGAAAAAGTCGAAGATTCCACATGCCGTTTTCAAGAATAAGCTTCCAGTGTCAACCAACAACAAAAGGCCCCTGCTGAAAAACTGATCAAGGACATATGCTTTGGAAAATAAAGCTACATTATTGCTTTTGAATAAATAAATTTACCTTATGGGGGCAGAAACCAGACGAGCCAATGTTTGAGAGCAAAAGATTGCTCAATTTAAAGGTTGGAGGTCACAGAAGTCATGAAATGGAAAAGGAGGATCTGAATAAGAGCCATTGAGGATAGCCCATGTAACAAGCTTGTTCGCAGCTTCTGTGGCATGGACTCCATCCCAGCTTACATAGTTGTAAGGATCACTACTAGCTGTTGCAGTCACAGTTCTCCCATTGATTACTTTTGTGTTTCCACAAAAAACTTTAGGGTCAAAATTGTGGGCACCACCCCCATGCCCACAACAAGCTTTGGTACCATACTTGAGCCCTGTTTTAAAAAACAAAGCAAAACTTAATTCACATTGACATGGTATACTATATATATGTTATCAGATTACATATTAGGATTATCGATTTAGATAGAACCGTGCTTTATTCACAGTTTATCAACATAACATATCATGTATCATAAAAGCGATCATTACGAATTGTGTATATTTGTTTATAGCTATATATGTAGCCCAATTAATTAAGTGACAAAACCTTAGTTGGGAGGTATACCATGAGATGTGGGATGTCTGAAGAGCTCTAGCAAAACAGAGGAGGTGTCCACATATATGAGGGAAGCATTTGGGAGAGAGCCTCTGGTTTGTCTGAGTGTCTCCTTCAACATGTTGTTGTAGTCTACAACTGCATTGTTGTAAGAAATCGAGCATCCAAACGCATCAAGTTCAGAAGGAGGTAGCCCCACCAAAAATGATGGGTAGCAACCCACTGGTGCCAGATTAAGTACCAGAAATGCCCGCCCTCCTAAGGCATATAGCTCCTAGAAATTTTGAAAAGTAATATAAGCACAGGATAAAAGTTATACAGTTCTTTTTTATAGCATAAACAGTTTTTTTTTTCTTTGGTTTCTCAAGATTAGCATGCAATTGTAAAAGACTTGTAACTCAAGTAGTTAAAATTATTTACTAAGTAATGTAACACATATGGCTATACATCAAAGTCGTTGTTTTCATCCCCATACCTGCCTTCATACCTGTAATATTCAAATCGAATATTCCCATCCCTGCCTTTTTTGGGCAGGTTCCCCACCTCACCCCAGTACAAAAATACCAATTTATAAATGAGGACAATACTTAATGAGGATGGAATGAGAGCCGCTAATTGGGGCCGAGTATGCCATGCCCATATGACTTAGGGTCCGTTTTAGACTTATGGCATAATTTACCTCTCCTCTAAAGCGGGCCATCTTCAATGATCAACCCCAAAACTCATTACCCAACATTAAATGAGGCTTTCCTTGATGGAGGAAGTGTTCTATTGAAATTTTGAGTTGTAGGCCCAGACCAAACAATATGAAAGTAGTCACTCACCTTGATAGTACCAGCAATTTGGGAGACCACTTGAGGAAGATATTGCTTCACTCCACCTACACCAATGGCTGCCAAATTGGAGGTGAAATCGTTTTGGCCAATGTAGAACGTGTAGAGTGATTTCCCGAAAATGTCCAGGGACGGAAGTCTCTTCGATTCTTAAGGAGCAATAAATTGAAATAGTTAGTACTAAGAAAAATCAAGGGTATGTTTGTCATCTAACATAGTGTTTGAAAATGTGAGTATACAATATTCACCTTGTTGATCCCAGGAGTGTTCTTCAACTTGGGTCTTGAATGCCTTCATTTGGTTGAGCTGGATGGCTAGAGAGAATGGGCTGATTCCAGTGACAAATAAGGACGTGTTTGGCAAAAGCACAGTGGATGCCAATGTAGCATAGTTGGCCCCATGCCTATAGTCGGATCCAATCGATTGCAGATATGGGCTTATGAATGGCAACCCTAGAGCTTGAGCTGCCAAATTCAATAGATTCGAACACATGATCTACCGAGATCATAGATAAATATTCTTACACTTAAACTACATGTCTCTCGTAATTTGTTAATTTAATTTTAAACATAAAATTAAAAATCAAAAAATAGAAAATCAGTTGAGGGTTTCCCAAACAGTCCAAACTTTGTCCAGCTTGGAGTCTTTGTCTTGTGGTATAAAGTGACCTTATAATAAAACAACCCTACTCTACTAGTGGCCTGTCAAAGTAGGGCCTTCCTATATCCTAATATCCTAGAGGATGAGGAAAATATCAAGGCAAATGACAAAATTGCTGAACAAATACAAGCACATAAATAACCAAGTCTATGTTTGGATGAGAAAGAAAATGGAACCAAAAACAGAAGATTGAATACAAATAAATGTTGGAAAAACAGCGTATGAATTAATTACCCAAGAAATCAAGCATGAGCCTCCCATCTGTAGCCCGACCAACAGGTCTCTTGAAGTAGGTCATGCCATAGGGTCCGGATTGTGCTGGAAAAGCTGCCCAAAACCCACCTGTGTCTGAATTCGAGTCCCCAAAATTGAAGATTGCCTCAAACTCGCATTTGGAATGACTTAAACAACTCAGAGTTGCCATCATAGCCATCCCTGCGAGCAAAAGCTTCTGCAGATCACAAGCTTTTGGCAAAAGCAGTCTCATATTTCTTTCTCAGAGCATGCAAAAGCTATTTTTCTCAGTGGGATTTTGATACTCCACTCACTCTGTGTGAAACAAGCGTCGTATAAAAAGGCTGAACCACATAATTGTACAAGATTCAGACCCATAAAAAATTTAGCATCATCATGTACTGTCGGTCATGCTGTGAAATTTTTTGTTGCCCACAAATTGACAATTATTTCTGAGCAGTAAAATACATTGAATTAATACCATCATATTATTTGTCACATTAACTGTTAATGGTTGAAATTTGGAAAAATGTATATGCCCATAGATGCTTGTGGTTGTAGATAATTTTGAAATTTTGAATACCAAACTTATGTGACGTGACTCTGATTTATATTTTACCAGCACTTTTCTTTTTAACTCCATTTTTTAAATATAATATTATGATCACAACATATCTGAAACTTGATATTATGTCAATTATTTTTGCCTTGGTTGTGAAGTCTAATCACTTTACAGTATCAAGGAATCATAACCCATCAATGTCATTTGAATGTTTGAAGACTCGTTGAAATGAATATTGTGAATTAAATAATACAAATTTATAAATAAACCCAATTCTAGACATATATTTATAAAAAAAAAATTCAAAACTATTTAAACATAAAAACACACCCAAAATCAACCTCAAAGTCAACAATTATATATTTTTTGGGTGTGTTTATAAATGGGTTTTGAGTGTGTGTAATGATGGGTTTTGAGTGTGTTTATAAAGTGTTTTGGGTGTTGGATTTTTTTATAATTTAAGCTCTCATTTTGGATGTTTTAGTGAAACTCCCATTAAATAATTATAATTTTGTTGTAACCTTCAATCAGAAATGAAACCAAGATCCGAATTGGGCAAGAAATGGCTAGCTTTATAAAACTATATTTATACTTGAAGGTAGAGTGGCCCGTTTGCGACTTTTTTTAGAAGTGTTTCCATTAGAAAAAGGTCAAAAAAAATTATGAAAAATAAAAGTGCTTCTAAACCCAAAATAAATAAAAAAAACTTGGAAGTGATTCTTCAAAAAACGCAGACTTCAAAAAATGCTTTTATAACCTAGAAGCACTTTTAAGTTTTCTTCAAACACTATCAAAAATATTTTAGTTGTTAGAAAAAACTCTAAGTAATTTTAAATAAACCCTAAATAAATATATAAGTGAATTGATAACAGCGTCTACACGAGACTACTACACTCACACTGAAAAAATTTCCCCCACAATTATCATTAAGATGAAAAGAGAGCAATCCAAAAATTCAGAAAGGAATTGGACTTGTCAACTATCACATACAAATTGAGAAAGGGATTTTGCTGCCAATTATTGGGCCGTGTTTGGCTGTTCCAAGTTTTTACACTCAAGGCCTGTTTGCAGTTCGGCTTTTGTGGTTGGGCCTTTGACCCCTGCACAATAAAAAATAATAATTCAATTTTAAAAAATAAAGAAAAAAGAAAAAGGGGAAATTAGATGGGATCTAAGACCAAATGCTTGAGGTCCACCTCAACTGGGCCCCACAAACGTGGCGTTGTAAGCCATGTGTCTGAAAGACACGTCACGTTGTCGGTAAGAATGGCTTTTTCTTTTTTGCCTGGCCTGATTCACCCGCCATTAAAATTATAGAAAAAAGGAGGCTACCACGTCAGACCCCTCCAATCACATGTCCATTTCCTAGTCCACCGCAATAACCGCATCGCCGTTGATCCTCCCTTTCTCTGACGTGGCCCTTCTGACTCTTTCCTCGCACAAAACCCACTAGGCACACTAACATAATCTCTTCTCCTCTCCTCTCCTCTCCTCTAATTATGCAAAAGGGATTAGGCTAATAATAGATTGATAGCCAATTCACCTATAACAAGATAACTCAGACAACTCAGTGTGGGTTGGATGATGGAGCTTATGGTGTGTTTTCAGTTTGTGTTCTTATTTTTTAAACAAAAATCAAAAATATATTTTATAAAAGTTTTCATTTCTTTGTAGTATCAAACAGACCTACACAAATTTATTTTTAATTTCATAAATCTACTTTATTTATTTGCATTCCGATTGTAAAAAATATAAAGAATAGCCCAAATATATTAAGTTGATTTTCACAACATATAATTTCATCATTTTGACATTTTAGCCCATCTTGACTGGCTCAAATATGTAGTTTCTTCATACAATTAGCTAGAACCCAAAAAATTCTTCATAAGATTATATCAAAAAATCTTCTTACATAAAGGTTGACACATAAGATTATAGAATCTTTCTCCTGCATGCGAGAATTGAAATAAATAAAAAATAATTAAAATAAAGTTGGTTTTTATAAGATTTTCGTTAATCAGCATAAAGACTAGGGCGGCCAAAGATAGGACAGCACGTAGCTCCCACGTGGATGAAGGGTATGACACCTGGGCCATTTTAAGCTCTCTAGGAAGTACGGCGACATGATATTTTGAGCTGGCTACGCAACCTCTGCTCGCATGGATGGACCCCACACCATTCTCAGTCCATCTACGTGGAACACGTCAGCTGCGGGGACCAAAAACACCGACATATGCGGATGCCTGTAGGGCCCAGTGGCTAGTACGTGTTGACACAGATGCTTTAGTATTTGTTAAAGCGGGAAAGGCAGCCTCGTTGGCAGATTGACAGTTTATCTCTCTTATGTCAGGCGTCGTGACCGATTTCTGTCCGTTGGATTAGATTAATGTAAACCGTTGGATTGTCGTGACGTCAGGGGTGGGACGCAAAGGATATTTAAGTAAAAGATACGGTTTCAATTTTTTAATTGTATCTGGGATAGGTTTGGGCCGTACACGTGGCAAAATGGGTGTCGTCGGAGATGAAGTGTGGTGAGGATAGGTGGCAATTGGGTGAGATATTGGAGTCAAAACATCAGGATGCGTCAGACAAGGAGTGCACTCCGCGTCGGACTGATGATGATAATGATGCTGATGATGAGAGGTTGCTTCCACCTCATAAAGTACCTGAATTGCCCTCCCCTTCCTTCATTTGGCATCTAATCTAAACCGAGGCCTAATGGGCACCCAAAGTCAAAGTGTTGTTAATCCTTTTCTTTTGTCCTTTCTTCAAATTTATTTATTTATTTACAAAGCGATATTTTAAACCGCTTAAAAAGACGAGGAGATGGATCCAATTTGAATGTAAGAGGTCAAATATCTCAGGAGACCAACTAGATTAACCCATATCTATTGTCGTTGATTCTCTTTCACTGAATCAAATTATATATAACGGTACTTATGATTGATATAATTTATGTGTTATTGCTCTTTATTCATAGCATATTTATCATCAATATATACTATGCATATATAGGAGTTGCTAACAAATGGATTTATAGCAAAAAAATAAGTTTAGTAAGTCAACCTAGTTAAATAAATTAACTAAAATAGGTTAGGTTTATCTAATTGTATGTTTGCAATCCTAGTCATATAAGTAAACTTTTATATAATTGTCTCTACCTTCCAAATCTTCTATGCATCATCTTTTGTTTTCATTGAATAAAAATTAAATGGGGGTGCTACTCTAGGACATGTGTTTTTTTTGGGTCAAAATGGACTTTCTCTTATGGACATACCGCGATTCACAACATTATTACGATGAATGTTAAATTTGTCGGAATCATCTCTTATATCTCTAATTTGAAGAATATTTATTTTTACATCTAAGGAATAAAAACCCAAAACAAAAATCAACTAAAGTGACGAACACTGTTTTTAATAAATACAAAAACATTGAAAAGGTCGATTTCATATTTAAATGACTCGCCATGTCTAATCTTGACGGTGAAAATTTGAATTTGACAACTATATATAATTTGCAAGTGATGTAATCAGATCACAACTAACCTAATCTTATAATAAGGTTTTTATTCTTAAGAGAGAGTGAGATGGTTGCTCATATTTTAAGCTAGTGATATTGTCTCTTATCTAGAAATAAAATAAAACTAAAAACCCATGCTTGGAATGGGATGGTAAATTGATGTTCGCAAACCTCTTTTGACGATTCTGGAAATGCCCACGACCATTTTGCATATAGAGTAGGAAGAAGATGTAAACCCCAAATTCAAATTCAGTATACCGTTTTTTAAAATACTTTTAAATCAATTTTGTTCATCATCTTTCCTATTCTATCATTATTATGCATAAATTTGTTTCTTCTTCAACCCGTGCGATTCTGCAACTTCAAAAAACAAAAGTTGGTTGATTTTTTATTTATTTAAATCATAACTCTTTCTAGTTGTCAGATTCATAAATCATTTTTACTTGCATGATCATGAAATCGAGCTCACTAATCTAAGTTAAATTTTATGGGTCTTGAGATTCTGGAATTTCTCTAGTTTGGGGTTTTTGATAAATTACTTTGCAATTCAATGCTTTGCTATGATATTTGAATTATAAGCTTATTTGAGAATTGAAATTTATTTGAGAGCAATTGAAACACAAGTTAAAGATGGTTTAGTTTGCTGCAATATTGTACAAAGATTGTTTTTTTTAATTTTTTTTTATCGCGATGATTTTTTTAATTTATATATACTAATTTTCTGTTAATTTTTCTTAATTTCAATTATTAAAATTTTAATTCAGGATGAATGTAGAATATGAAAGAGAATGAATAAAAAATAACAAAATTAATTAAAAAAATAAAAGAGAATGTAAGTGGATAGAGTTATTTAAATGATCAATATTATCCAATAACAATCAACCAAGTAATAAAATTTAGGAACTTGTGCTATAATATTAAACTCGAAAAGCTAAATTTGTTCAAAACAATGGGCTGTACGTGGCACACATACACAGTACACTAGCTTGGATCTTCACGTCACGACTTTTAAAAAGATGTTCCGCCAGGTAAAATAAATCTGCCAAATCAGGCGCAATAAAAAAAAAAATAAAAAAATCAGATCGTTAAGACTTTACTTTATTATCTAAAATAAGATAAAGAAATGATCTTAATTAATCTAATTAATCTTAATGAATCTAAATCTCTAACAATCTTCATGCGTGGCTCAAGACCCCCAATTACGTCGTCCATCACTGGCTCGTCGTGGATTCCAAAGGACTTATTCATTATAGTTTAATGTAATATTTTTATTTAAAAAAAAATCCCGATTGATTAATTAATTAATTAATTAATTAAGAATTGGATGTGAGAAGGACCACGTCAGCCACATGACGGGTGGAATTGGCTGGAGCCCGAACCCGGGACGCGTAGATCGAGTGGGTTTGCAACACGTGTACGGACAAGGTGACGTTGGAATAAATAAATTGGCCAGCGCGAATATCGATGGGCCAGCTCAACAACCACCACACCACCTCGTATATACGGTGTACCGTCTACGACCTCCTTCACATACGACACGTGTTGGGTGACGTGGACGTTGCCTTGGCGCTCTTCTTCTTCTTCCTCTTCCTCTTCCTCTTCATTTTTGTTCTTCTCTACCACCACCCTCACCCTTCTCTTTCTCTCTCCTTCAATTTCTCGCTCTTGCTTCCTTTGTGATAGAAAATAAGCGATTTTTTATCTCTCGATGTTCTAGAGAGAGAAAATGCAGGGGATTTGAAGCCGGGGTTTGCCGCCATTGAAGAAGTTGAAGCTTTGACGAAATTTCAACGAATTCTGAAGTTTTATTTTTTCCTTTTGGTTTGGATTTTGGACGTGAAGAGGTGGAGATTTGGATTTGAGAGTTCAAGGTACGTTGAATTTGGAGTTCCAAGTTGTTTTTCCTTTTTGAATTATGGTCAATGCTCTGTTTGGCTCCTGAGAAAATGGATAAAGTAACGGAAAAAGCTTAATTCCGTTATTACATGAGCGGGTTTTTGGTGACGAAATGCGTAGGGGATGTTGGAAATTGAAAGTATGCATCTTTTCAGTTTTTTTTCCCTTCTTTGTTATAGTAAAAAACGGAGCTTGTAATTAGTCTCAAACTCAAAAGTAACGGCAACATGCTTAAGATTTTTTTATTATTATTATTTTTGCTTGGTTTTCTTAGCAAACAAACAGAGGGTTAGAGTAGAAGCCTCTAATCTGGAAGATTTCTCTCTGCTTATGCTGGAAATTGTGATTTGGTTTATTGATTTGCTCGGTTTACTAGTTCTCTCATCTGATTTTGGTACGTATGCGCTAGCATTCTATTTCTGTTCCAATTCTGCAACTGCAACCCCATCAACCAAAAATGGAGGAGAAATTATTTCAAGAAATATAAGATAACTAGTGTAAGATTAGAACTGATCAAATCAAACTTTCGTCCAAAAAAAAAAAAATTAGAACTGATCAAACCACCAGATACAAAACATCGGTTAATTATTTTCGCCTTAAGTTTGTGTAAAGGGTATTTTTGTCATTGGCATCTCTAGGTTTTTCAGTTGTGAACTTGTGATGGATTGGGTGATGGCACCTAGCATTATCTTCCTGTGACGAGAGTTGATGGAAAGACGTTTTTACCCCCCTTTTTTAACGATTAATTTTTTTCTTCTTCTATGTTTTAATTCAATAGATCGCCGATTTGTCTTGAAGTTTTGGTTCCTGGTGAGTGAGTATGTATAATTTAGCCTTTGAGAAGTATCCAAAAGAAAATTAGTCATGAAAATAGTTGTATTGAATAGGTTCAATTATCCTTTTCCGTGACTTTTTATATATTATTTTGATAAACTGATGAAACACTCACATAAGCAGCTAATTATTATTTAATTTTTTTTTTCAACTAATTTGTTATTTTATTTAGCAGATATGAACTCAATCTCATATTTCCATTAGACTAACCTGCGTACTTAGCCAGTGTTCACCGAGCTTCTGTTGTTCCAAATCTGAATCAACAGGGTTTTTTTTTTTGGGGGGGGCTTTAGCGTTATGGAATCGTTTATGTTATATTATAAGCATGCCAAATTTGTACGTCACTTTTTTATCTTGAATTGGGAGCCTATTTCCAATAACTGTGACATCTATGAGTCTTAATGTTGCCTCTGGGTTAGCTAACTTTTGTTTCAGTTCACTCTTGGTTAGCTACTTTAGGAAGTGTACATGAACAGAACTGAAAGGATGTCATTAACTATTTATGTAGCGTGGTGATCGGTTTCAATATTTCCCGCAATTCTAAAATTATTAAGACAATTTTGTGATGTTTTGATGTCAGCAATTTGTTTGATTTTAGCGCCACATCATTTTTGCTGTTCAAGCCTTGCAAATTTTCTTTTTTCCAATTACAGCCTGACATGGATGCTATTGAATTGATGCAGTGTGGAGTCTGGACATTATATGTAACAGATCAAAGAAGTGATGCACTGATCAAGAAAGCTCAAAATATTTCTTCTCAGTATCTTTGAATAAGCCTTGGTGGTCATTCATGGGAAACGACGACAACGGAAAATCTGCCAAATCTGAGAAATCATCTTCACCTCTGACAGCGGTAAGCTGTGATACATTGTTTTTTCTGTTATGGAAACAGAAATTTCTGAAACATCTGATCAAGTATCTTTTGAAGTTGACTTATAATGTTTTGATTTCTAGGTAGATAAAAGAGTTTTAGGCTAGTTGTTTATTAAATATATATCTTTTGTTATTCTTGGTGGTTTACTATTGAAGACTGTCTTTAAGTTTTCCTTGATCCTTTTGCATTGGCAGGATCAGACAAATCATAGTAATCAGACCAATATTCATGTCTATCCTGATTGGGCAGCCATGCAGGTTACTGATTTTTTTCCTAGTTTTGCTCAAATAACTCTGATCATATTGTAGTTTTTCATATGAAAACTGATGCTCGCTAATGATAACTTCAGGCATATTATGGTCCCAGAGTTGCTCTTCCTCCATATTACAACTCAGCTGTGGCTTCTGGCCACGCACCTCATCCCTATATGTGGGGCCCACCACAGGTACTGTCTCTTACATCAAGGCAGTTAATACATTCAATTTAAGTCTGTGATTTGCCAACAAATTCTGGAAGAACTCCAATATATTGTATGATAAGTCATTGACTCGTTAATTCTTTCAGCCTATGATGCCACCCTATGGGACACCTTATGCAGCAATGTATTCACATGGTTATGCACATCCGGCAGTTCCTCTTGTAAGTTTGAATTCTCCTTATTTTCGGTGACGATCCTACATTTTCATCAGAACTTCTGTTTGCTTTGCAATTTAGAGAGTGAATAATTGGTTCTTAAAGTGCCTACAATTTGATTGGTTACCTTTTTGAAAGCAGAGGCTAGACTGTATTTACTGTTATGAGGTCTTATGTACATGCATTTTTACTAGTACTTGCTGGACACCACAATTCCTGTTGACTTCCCTGTCCTTAAGCAAATGGAAATTAATAAGCTTTCCCATATCTTTATGCTTGATATAGCTCTCAATCAATAATTCATTACTCCCTTCCCCCACTCCTGCAGAAGTTGTGCACCCCTGTTTCTTTTCCCTAGTGACAGAATTGAGATAGTTACAAAACTGGAATTTTCTCACGTATTGGTGTTTGTTTTTGCTGATATAGGGATCACATGGCCAAGCGGTTCCATCATCACCTTCTGTAAGTGAACTTTTCACCATATGTCCATTATAGCTGCATACACAGCCATCAATATCCATAATTTAATGTGACTTTATTTGTGATGCAATAATGCAGGCTGCAACTCCTTTGAATATGGAAACACCTACAAAGTCATCTGGTACTACAGACCGAGGGTTAATGAAAAAGTTGAAAAGATTTGATGCGCTTGCAATGTCAATAGGCAATAGCAATGTTGGGGATGCTGAGGGTGGAGCTGAACATAGTGTCTCCCAGAGGTTTGTAAGCCAACTTACTCTCTTACGTCCTTTCTCTTGCTTTTTAGATGGGCTATACCTCCTAGTGGACCAATCTGGTACACTCTCTGGTAGTCTGGTCTGGAATCCTCCTTTCGCTTACATATCTGGAAAATTTTTCCATTAGATTGGGTTCTTCCCGGTAAATTATTTGTTTATGGACTAATTTTTGTGAACTTTTTACCATGCTAACAGTTTGGGGACAGAAGGTTCTAGCGAGGGAAGTGACGGGAATACCACTGGGGTGAGGACCTCTTCCATTGGTTCTAGCATGTCTATTCTTCCAAATTTATTTCTCATTTGATTTGGATCTTGTATGTATAATGATGGTTAATGGTGAAGTTTAAGTTCAATATTTCCATATTTTATGTCCAGGAAAATCAAACCAGAAGAAAAAGAAGTCGTGAGAGAACACCAGCCACTGGTATGACTGTTCTTCACCAAGTGTTGCATCTTGATGAACAATAGAGTTGGCCTGCAGTCAGTACTGTTTTTTAGTAGCTATCTAGTATTCCATAAAGCTTAAACTCTTAGGATGTGAGCCCATTGTTGTTTTATATCCAAACAATCCCCCGTCACATGTGAACATTTCTCAACCGCTATAGAGCCCAACACGTGAAAACATTAGTTGAGACGTTGACAGGTTATAGTTGTAGGGATCAGGATCAGGATATCATATGCTTTGATACGGTGTTAAGTTTGTTGGTTTAGTACAGTACACAAAAGCTTAAATTGCTCGACTAAACCTGTGTATTGACACATATCTTTGCTCAATATTTGTTCCAATAGCTGGAGATGGGAAGACTGACATGCAGCCCAGTCCAGTTTCTGCTAAGGAGGTAAATGCAGCTTGTGATAAAGTGTTGGGTGCAACTGTTGCTGCTCCTAGTGTCCCGGGAAAATTGGTTGGACCAGTAGTTTCTCCTGGTATGACCATGGCGTTGGAATTCAAGAACTCACCTAACTTGAACTCAAAGTCGAGCTCTACTAGTGTTCCACAATCCTGTGCAGTTTTGCCTCCAGAAGCCTGGATGCATGTACTGTCTGCATATGTTACTCTGTTATTTTTGGATTTGTCTTTGTTTCTCATACTCCATCGAAGTTTCACATCACTGAATGTACTTTGTGGTGGTTTCGTTATGATTCACAGAACGAACGGGAGCTAAAAAGGGAGAGGAGGAAACAGTCTAATCGGGAATCTGCTAGAAGGTCCAGGTTGAGGAAGCAGGTATGAAAGTTGTGAAGGTGCCATGGTCCAATATTCTTCTTTTAGTACGCGTTCATTAATGGAGATATGAGGCTAATGCTTCTTCCTTCCAGGCTGAGACTGAGGAACTTGCACGAAAAGTCGACGCCTTATCTGCGGAGAATGTGGCACTTAAATCTGAAATAAGTCGATTGACTGAGAATTCTAGCACACTGAAGCTAGAAAATGCTACATTAATGGTACATCCATATTCCACATGCTATTTCCTAATAATTTCTTTCCTTGGAGATTGATAAAAATTTCTACCTCTTTTATTTTTGTGCTAACTGACCCTTTGTCTCAACATACTAGGATAAACTGACAAATACACGCGTAGGACGAATGGAAGAGATTATGATGAACATTGATGATAAGAGGGTCCAACCTTTTAGTACTGAGAACCTACTGTCGAGAGTTAATAACTCGGGTTCCATTGCTAGGGATGCTGAGAAAGAGGGTGACATGTATGAGAAAAACTCGGGGGCTAAGCTGCATCAACTCCTGGATGCGAGTCCCAGGGCTGATGCAGTTGCTGCTGGCTGATCAATCGACTGGCATACGTGCAGTTTCTTTAATTCTGTAGTTTTGGCATATTACAAGCCCAAAATTACTGCTAACAGTAAGCAGGAGAAATGTGACAGCTGAACAGGATTGTTACCATGGTGAAAGCTGAGGCCCCTAATTGTTATTTGTGATTGGTTATCTCATTGCAGAACTAATGGTTTTTTCCCCCCCTTTTTTCTCGAGTAAAAGACTAGAGTTCAGATGTGCTGGAATGGCCACTGAAGGGTGATGATGTACAATGAAGAGTTAAGAGATTTAGAATAGAAAAACCTTCATATATGCTATGAGTGTGGTGTATAATTCAGTTACCAGTGATGTGATGACTATGCAATTTGAATGAGCATACATGTATGTTTTTTTATTAATAATTATTCTTTCTGTTTTAATTAGTTACTTTAATCCCTTAGTTTGTATTGCTAATTGCAAATTGTGCTGAGCATATCCTTAGGCTTTGTAGTTCATAATACTCAAATTAATTGGATCCTTAATCCCATAAATTAGCAAGAAACTTTTCTGTGACATCAATGTTATCATTCACGTATATTATAACACGCAAATTAGTATCACACTGCCAAGGATATGCCACGTCACAACCACGTTGGCGCCACATAATTCAAAGTTGAAAGGGCAGGGCAGGGGCCAAGGGAGGGGCTCAAGTGAAGGCTGAACGTGGACTAATGCAAGAAGCAAGCAATACGGGGGCCCCGCAAAGTCGAAGGCTGCCCACTCGATTCAAAGTTCAAAGTAGCTTGTATTGTGTAGTTGGTTTCTTGGGGTTTATACCCCCTGCTTCTTGGGAAAAAAAAAAAAAAAAAAAAAAAGGTTCAAAGTAGCTTACGCCATGGGCGTAGGTGATTCACCAACTCATTCAAAGTCTGCCGGCTTTTGTCCCCTGTGGGATTACCCACACATTTTCACCTCCACGTGATCCCCGTCTGCCCTTCTCGAAAGCTCACCATAACTGTTGAAATATAGTTGAGAAGTTTTACCAGTAAACAATGTGAAGTGTAAAACCTTTTGGGAGTATCTTTCAAATGAACAAGAAAGTTTCTCTCACTATACTATTTAGCTCTTTTTCAATGTGGGAAGATCCAAATGCTTTGGATTCGCAAAGGTCGATTTTAGAATCGAACATCTGTTGAACCTGAGGGGCATTTTGGAGGAGATAAGAGCACTACAAAAAAAAAATGGCAAGATTCACCATTTTGTCACCAATTTTGGTGACTGTTGTGGGGATTACTCGCTTTAGTCACATTTTTTGACTTTTTTGGTGACTAAAAAGGCTTTTAGTCACATTTTTTGCTTTTTTTAGTGACTAAAGCCTTTAGTAACCCCCACAACAGTCACCAAAATTGGTGACAAAATGATAACTATTGCCACTTTTTTTTAGTAGTGGAGGGAGATGGGTTCAACTCCAAAACGGACCCAAAATTTGACTCAAAAACAGACGTTAATTCTAAAATGGACCTAGAATTAGATTCTAAAACCAACTCATGAGGTACTTGGGTTCAAAGTGAAACTGAATCGAACATCAAAAGGATACGAGGAATAAAAAGAAAGTTACCATGATTCAATTGACTTGATATCACACTTGAACCAATAATGTTAGCTTATTAAATAGCATCCTACTGTTGACAACTTGACATACATGGAAAAGAAATTGGTCATCTTATTGGCAATAGAATAGAAAGAGAGAATTTCATCAGGCAACTCCCAATGCTCTATAGGGGTAGTCCTTTTAGTGAAGTTACTCTTTTCTTTGTTTGTTGTTGATTGATAAAAAATGTAGTTAGAATTATCATATTTTGTGGTAATTTTCTTGTGATAGGACGTGTAAAATCAAAATCATTGATTTAAAGGAAAAACATGTCATAATTTTCTTGTGATAGGATGTGTAAAATCAAAATCATTCATTTAAAAGAAAAACATGTCTCAAATAATCTCAGTTGACAATTTAACAATATAATATATATATTTCTCTCGTTTTATCGAGATTCTTAAATATATATATATATATATTGACCTTAATAATATGAAATATTGCGTTTCCTAATAAAAACTCAATCACGTATTACTACTATTACCACCTCAATGAGCTTTTGTCATTTCATTTCCATGACATATTCAAAGTTGACATTAGCAAATAATAATAATAATCAAAGTGAAAAAATGAAATGAATGCTGAGGTTGGTGGGTGAAGTCTAAATGAATGGCTCACTCACATTCATAAATTAACACATTTAAAATCTGCACCAAAAAAAAAACTAAAAAAAAAACTGCAGGCAGAGTCTCAATCTCAAAATTCCTGTATTTTAAAAATTTGACCGCTTGGACTGTCTTCGTGTACTTCGCGTATCTCCACGTCCTATATCTCTGCGTGAGCAACAGAAGAACAAATACTGCTCTTTTCCTCCTTATCATCAAAACACACCTCCCATTTTTATTCACATCTTCCCAAGCTTCCACGATCCTGCCCCCTCCCCCCCTACACCTTTGTTTCTTTTATAATTTATCTTTTTTATTTCCCATTTCTTTTGGGTTTCTTTAAGCATTAGTTTCTTCTAGATTATTAATAGCAAGTCCCATACATACACTGAATGCTTCCTACCTAGGAAAAAGGATTGCCTTAACACTTGAACATGGTCTCAGTTTTGGTGTTCTTTCAAATTCAAGGTCTTGACTTGAGTGGGCATTGTGTAGATTGAAAGTTTTGAGTCGTTTGGTTCATGTGACGTACTTAAAAGAGGCTTCTGCCGGAAAGTTTCTGACTTTTAGGGACTTGCTTATTCTAGTTTTTGATGTCATTCTTGGTGGGTTTTATTACAAGTTAGACTTATAGGGTAGCTTAGAGTAATTCCAGATACAGTTCTTTCTTGATGGAAATGAGTTCTTTTTGTTCTCTTTTCCTTTGATGGGTTTTTGAAAGAAAAAAAGGTATGTTACAGTTGAGAAATACATATTTGGATTTTAGCCCTTTATCCTGGATTAAATTCATTGTCTTCATCTGATGATATATTGCAAATATCTGGAGACTTTCTTTTATGAAATTTAGGTAGGTATTGGAGGTTTCCTGTGCAGCTGCCAAATTTCACTTCTTTGGTTTCTGGATTTGGACTTTACGTTTTCAATGACATTTTACAGGCATTAGCATTTTGGGGTTATCTACAAGTCGAGTTTTCTGGATCTGAGAAGTAATGGTAGTTGGGGTTTCTCTTTTAATTGAAAAGATCACTGCTTTATTACAGGTTTAGGTGTTTGGTTAAGTTTAGATCTTTAACAATATCAGTGGAACTCTTGCTCCTTTTAATCCATCACTGCCAGTGTCCTTTGTTTTAGAGAGGTTTGGTTAGAGCTTGGAAGGCACAAGGTGTCTAATTAAGATAGCAGAGTTAGAGAGGTAGAATTCTGTCTGTTTTTACAAAATGGGGCATTCAGCAGCAGATTGGGATTATAGGGCAGCAATTGAGATTACAAAGGATTGGAATGGGGTTGAACAAGTCCTGCTTCAGAACCAACAAGGGGCTTCAGCCCGGGTAAGTTGATTGTGTTCGAAGCATTCAATTTAGAATCATCCTTCAATTTTTAATTTGTAATGGGAGAGAAATTGTGGTCAAATACCATTTTGGTTTCTGTATTAGTGGGGTGTTTAGTGAGCTTGGGATTAAGGATTTTTCTTCTGATAATATAGGTTAGCTTACATGGAGGACAGGTCACATCCTGGAGGAATAAGCACGGGGAAGAACTCCTATTCACTAGTAGTAAGGTATAATTTTTCAATTCCAACTGTATATATTTTCCATCCTCTCTTTCTATTGTTATTTTTATAATTCTGTGATTGAACAAATATTTTTTTCTGTCTAATTATTCAGATGAGTAATCACAAAATATGTAAACTGCCAGATTTCAGGGGTTGTAGATTTTCCAGGTCAAACTAGAGTTCTCAATTCATATGACTTGGTTGACTGGTCAAGAACTAATGTTTTATGCACAACTTAGACTGGACATGAAGTAAAACTGGGTTGACTGAGTACTCTGTTTTGGGATTATCCAAACCGGTGCTAGTTGATAGTTGATGAATGTGGTTGTAATCAGTTTCCTGTTGGAGCAAATTTTCAATTTCATTTTCTGTTTTATGCAAGAGATATAGGGGCTGACATTTGATACAATGAATTGTGACAATAAGAGTTGAAAACATGTCTTACCCACTATAGATGTACACAAAAGATTCTTTTAACATGTGGTTCATCAACCGTAGGCAATCTTCAAGCCTCCAAAAGCAATGCGAGGAGGAATTCCCATTTGTTTTCCACAGGTATTATCAACTATTCTTCTATACAATGATACTTTTTTCAAAAAATGAAAAACTCCATCTGATGTTTTTTACCTTGATGCGTTTGAAGTTTGGGAACTGTGGATCACTTGAACAGCATGGTTTTGCGAGGAACAAGGTCTGGGCAATTGATGATAATCCTCAGCTGCATCCCCCAAATTATTCCCATGGAAAATCCTTCATTGATCTACTGCTTAAACCATCTGAAGATGACCTGAAGTGCTGGCCTCATAGGTATGAGCTTTGATGCTGCCTTTTTAAATAAAACTAGTAACTATTTTTTTCCTCCCTGTTGATTGAAGTTTGTATCCGCGTAACAATATGTTAATTATTGGAAGGATTTAGTTAATAATAAATAAATGACTTGAAGTCATAACAGAATGTTAATTATTAAAAGAATTTAGTTAGAACCCATAAAATTGTCTTCTCATTTCTTTGTTCCCTTTCCAGCTTTGAGTTTCGCCTTAGGGTGTCTCTTGCAACAAGTGGAGATCTGACCCTGACATCACGAGTTAGGAATGTCAATGGCAAGCCGTTCAGTTTCTCGTTCGCCTACCACACTTATTTTTTGGTTTCTGACATAAGGTATGTAGCACTTTATATAATTGAATTCACAATCATCTGCTGTTTGGTTGTTGCACATGTGGTTCCATTAAACTCATGCAATTTGATTTATTTATGTGAAAATGACTTCTGTCCTTAGTGAGGTGAGGATAGAAGGGCTGGAGACACTTGATTACTTAGACGACCTTTGCGAAAGAAAACGTTTTACAGAACAAGGAGATGCCATAACTTTTGAATCTGAGGTAAATTGTTTCTAGTTTGTGTACATGAAATGAAATTGCTTTTACATATAATGCAGGAAACCCTAGAGTTGGAAAATCACATGTTAGTGAACAAGATGTCCAGCACAGCTGCCCTTGATTTTGTTGGGCAGGAAATGTAAAGGAATGACAAATGTTCGCCAACTGTAACAAAATGGTGAATTCTTTTCACTTTTTCTGTGAAAAGGTTATCCATTTGTACACTTAATTCATTGTC